TATAAACAAGAAATAAAAGTAATGGCACTTTACTGCAGAAATGCAAACAACTCTGCCCAGCTATTTTATGTAGATGTTAAATCATAATAGGGAAAATAGAGAACTTTGTAGACTAAAACAGCAGAAATGCAATCAAGATATTGATTCCTCAGCAATATCTTCTGGACTTGCCCAGCTTATAGGTTAAAAAAAAAAAAGCCTATATAAAATGTGTCCCAATTCTCATCTCAGGCAGATAATCCAGAAAGATATCAAGAACTACAGAAAGTTTGGGAGAATTCCACACTTTGCTAATGCAAACTAAGGCAAAATTTTCCACTATATTTTAGTGGAGATCACTATATTTGTCATGTAGAGTTTCTGAAGAACATCACATAAACCTGGAATTGGTATGTGATCCCAAAATTTAAAAAATATATATTATTTGTTTATACATATTTTAAATGGCCAGAATCCCATGAAACTGCCACATCTCATAAGACTGTAATGTTCCCACCGGTAATCTTGTGCAATTTAGGCAAATCCTCATGAGATACAGTAACTTTGTAAGAATTTTACCATTAGAAATATACCTAAAGAGTCTAGTGTCTAAATAAGGGGCTATCTGCATTCTCTTCATTGATCACCAGCCATCTCCAAACCACAGGTTGGGAACCACTACTCCAAGGTACCAATGGGTCAAACTATGTAGAAGCAGCAAGGCCAGGTGATTTACTACCTGCACCACAGGACAATATGCAGGTGATGAAATAACTTGGGTGACGCTTACTGGTCAGATAATGGCAGGTAGAAAGGCTGCAACTTTTCAGACCGGAGAAAAGATGACCACTGAAAAACTGCCTAGGTTTGAACCTCCTATCTGAGCAACTTACTGAAGACAAGACATATAGACTTCTTGTACTCTCCTTGGCAGAATCTGACCTTCTGCTTGATGAAGAATAGTCCACCAGCTTCTGATCTTTTTAATCTTTGCCTTGGAATCAGTTTCCTGAGATCAGCACACCCGATTTCCTCTTTAGATTCTTGGTCACTGTTTTTTTACCACTAGACCAAACCATTTGCAAGATTGTACACTGTTTGCACACTGACCATAAAATTCCAAGAGCTAAATCTCACAGGGATACTGTAGATTGCAACTTTGGATTGCTCATGAACTTGTTACACAATAGATTCAAGGGAAGAAATGCTAAAATCAGGCAGTCACTGAGTCCTTGTTAGAATTCTGTATAAAATTAACTCTGCCTTTCCTCATTAAAAAATCTCCCCATGAGATTTTCAGCATTGCAAATCCAAAACGTTAAAAAAATGTTTTTTAATTAAAAATAGCCAGTTTGGACTAGTGGTAGAGGCACCAGGCTAGAAAGCAGGAGACTGTGAGTTCTAGTCCTGCCTTAGGCATGAAAGCCAGCTGGGTGACTTTGGACCAGTCCCTCTCTCTCAGCACAACTCCCCTTACAGGGTTGTTGTTGTGGGGAAAATAGGAGGAAGAAGGAGTAATCAGGTACGTTAGCCACCTTGAGTTATTTATAGAATAAAAATAATAAAGGCAGGATAAAAAAATCTAAAAAAAGACATATAAGAATGTCACACACTCAACTTAACCCTAATGTTTCAGGCTCCATTCTCTCACTGAATTAATGACAAAGAAAGGTCCAGGGTGACTTGCATTCATAGATAGATGTTTGTGGTCGCACTTTGCAAATTTGTCTGCTATTAGTATACAAATAGTTTCTGTCAAGTTTCTTCCACCTATGCGATGTTCTCTCGAATTCTTTCTGCAGGTCTACCAAGTATTATCTATGAGATGACCAGGAAGTGGGGGGGGGAGTGGAATGGAGCAGTCAGCAGCATTCTGAGCTGCTGCCAAACTGCCTCTCTAGGGATCCATTGAGGGAATCTTTTTCCTGGAATGTTTTTCTCCATAGCCCCCAGCTATATTCAGCCTGTTTTCAAACTCAATCATGTTCTGTTCTGATTTTAAAGAGTTATCCTGCTCACAGAGTTCTTTTACCAGATTTCTTTCCAACTTTATCCTGGGGGGAAAGAATAAAAGGATCCTTAATTGCATTAGGTCCTTTGCTGGCGTAGTTACCAGAATCTTGGGAGGGGCGTCATAAAGAATAAACTGTTCCAATCCATTGCCTTAGTGCTTTGAAGGCCATGGTTGCCTCTCATACAATATAATTCCTGCTTGAGGGCAACACGCCATCAGTACTTCAATTCCCAAATCATTTTCACACCTGCCGATTCAGAAATGCTGAGAAAGAGGAACAAAAATCACTGCCTCATCTTGCTAGTCACGCAGTGAAAAAAAAAACCCTCATACATACTCCATACAAGAGGAAAGAAAAAGAAAAGAGAGGGAATCTAAGCAGCAACATCTGCTGAAGAGAAGTGGAAAAAGTGGAAAAATCCACTGCTGAAAGAATCTTGCCCATTTCACCCCTTCTTGGTTCAGCTGTATGACTGAGAGGAAGATACAAAGCTTCCTTCAATCTGCATTTCTTTATAGTGACTGCAAGGGTGGTTGAAGTTCAGAAGCCAAGCCAGAGTGAGGCAAAAGTTTCCACCTCACATATGTTTACTTATTTATTTTAATTTATTACAACCATTTCTACACTGCCCCATCCCACAATTCTACATCATGTTCCAAACAGCTTCAGTGTTTCCAGCTGATAATTTGGAGGAAATACTACAGTTCCAGTAGGTATCAATATGATAAGCTTCAGAGTTGTAAACCAGCCCCATTCCTGAAGAAATATGTCTGGACTTTCCCTCATGACTCATTTAAAGGGCTATCCGGCAGTCCTTGAACAATTAGAAAACCATACCAGTGCAACCACACCTGCTGGTGATTCCTGGCCTGCCATAGACATGACGCTGGGAAATGATGCTGTCCTTATTTACTGTGTAGAGGGCATGTTAAGACAAGGATAGCTGGATTCTTCCATATTTGTTTCTCTCCCCTCCCCCAAATGTTACCTGCCAGCAGGAAAATATTAATCACTCTCCTTATTATTAATTATTATTCATGAGGATGGAGATATGGAGAAAGGAGAAGGCAAGTTTTGACAGATGGCTAGACTGGCTGGCTGGTTTAGGCATATGTCAAAATTTCATGATAGTTTTGCAAAAATGTTTTGCTTGAATGCATTTGAAAGGAGCCTGACTATCAGTTGATCTCTCAATATTCTGATATGTCAGGATAGCACTGTTCCAAAAGAGTGATTAGGCACAAATGGAAAGGCCCTGAGTGAAATCACAAGTGCACAGATCTGATCAAGAGCGATGCAAACATCTCAGGTGGAAGCACCCAGTTTTTCTATTTTCTAGAATTTTCCAGTAGAATGGACCAACATTTCAAAGACAAAGCTGAACATTTCAGTTTGTGAACAGCAAAGAACAGGACTGTAGAAAGGAGTAGATACATGTTGCCGAGTTAATGTGTAGGAAGAAACATGAACAAGAAATGCAGAGTGGGAACTGTGGAAAAAGAAGCTGAAATGGAGAAGGCAGAGACTTCTCTAGATGGTGATTGGGCTTCTATATAATCACAGAATGCTTTAGAGGGAGAAGTGGGCTGAAGGTTTAAGTAAGACTTAATAAAAGGTGCTTAGATGAAGCAAAAGAGAGGCTCTTGTTATTCAAAACAACTTGAGCCACAGTCATTTAAGAATCTGGCTTTACGAATCTGAATTCTATACTGTTGACTGATATATCCAGAAGACAGGCAAAAGGCTGGATTCAGAATTATCCAATAAGGATAAATCTTTCAGCAATATTTGGGCAAACCATTTGGGAATAAGGAAATGGGTTGATGTCAGAAAGAAAGGCTCCTTGAGAAAATTAATATGCATCATTTAAAGCTAGAAAAAATATACTGCAGTATGGACTATTGCAAATCACTAGGAGAAAAGAGAGTTATGGCTATCTGTAATTACACAGTACATAGGGTATGCAATCTTTTTACCAAGAATATCCCCAATGCAAAATTAAGTATGATATTAGACTAAACTAATGAGTTCTAAGGATGTAAAAATACAAGTAGTGTGCTCCCCTACATAGGCTGCCTTTTTTTCTTTTCTTTTTCTTTAGTCATCTAGAAGAATTGTTTTGGGGGGAACATAATGAAAAGAAAAGCATTTTCAATCTCCTTTAGATAAAGCAGATAACATTTAATAAACTGATCTGCAGAAAGTATGGGCAACTGACTTTCAGCAACGAGTTGGACTAGTTATTTTTTCCCCCCATTTTTGCCTTTGATTCTGTGATTTTAATATACACACACACACTCCTAAAGGCTTCTAAATTAATAGTTCACCACCAGAAAATTGTCTAATGAAAAATAGAGACTTCCCCATCCTTAGGTGAAGGGATAACAACAGGACTGTGTTGGTTAGCCCAAACCAGTCACGGACAACGTGCATGCCTGCCAACAAACCCTTACACCGACAGTATGTTTGATAGCATCATCTTATGCTCATACCAATTTTGTTAGCTGGATTACCTTGCAAACCTAAACAGCTTACAAAAAGTGAGCAAATTTAATTTACAGAAAAGACCAATGAATTGCTTGACTTAGTCTGAGACAATTAGCTTCATCCCATTCAGGATGGGGCACCATCAATCCTTATGGCCACTTTTCTTTCCCTTTTGCGTAAATCCCCTTCACCTATTTGACTAAAATTTGGCATGGATGATGTAAATTTCTCCACAGTCTGTCTCAAAACAACAAAGCTACAGGCACTCGATTTTTTTCATGAAATATATCTTGCAAACTCCTGAAACGGTGTCTAAGAAATTTGCTGTATTTTATATCTTCATAACTGTCATGTTTGCCAGCAAATACCATCCCTCTTGATTGGAAAAACAAAAAGCCAAATTTGTGTTTCCTGTGCTCTGCGACAGGAGAGCGGTCACTTTGGTTTTTCTCAATCTCATTCTGAGGTGAGATTCAGGTTACTGAGTGAGACCAGGTCTCCTGTTTCTGGAGTGCTGGAACAGGTCCTGAAATTAGCAGTTTTTCACATTTCTTGTTACTATAATTAGCGCAGTCTTCTATATAACTGTTCGTGGCATTGCCTGTAGTAGTTATGAATCACCTTTAGGTGATCAAGCACAGAACGACCACACAAAGACCACAGTATTTGTTCATCCGATGCTCCAAATGGGATATTTTCACATCAAAGCTATCTCTTCTAAGGTCTGTGATTGTTACTGATTTCTTTAGCTATCTTACGAACATTCAGGCTTCCTTCAGGCTTCCTTCGTTGGCTTTTTAAAACTTACATTGGAAGTCTAGAGAAAAAGGATAATTATTCTACCCTAAGTTACCTCCTAGGCATATTTATTTTATGCTGTTGCAAATGCCTCTCTCTTCACTCTACTCCTTCTGGAAACTATTTGCACCTCCAACCTGGAACAGATAATTCACCCACTTCAAGTAACTTTCAAACTTCCATGGCAATCAGTTCAGAAAACCTAACCCCTCTCTACGCACCACTATGTGTTAGATTATGAATCTTATCTGCAGTTGGAATTCTCTTTGGTGGGTGGGGATGATGGGAAGTGTGATCCAACATGTCTAGAAAAGCAAGCCATGTTGAGAGCATTAGGAATAGGGAACATTAGGAAAATAGGTTCCGTATTACTATTGTCACATCCTCTACATTTGTTGCTTTATAATAACATTAGAACTATCACGCCCTGTTCCTTCCGCAACTGAGATCAGCAACTCCCACGTTTGCACTGGTGCTAGAGCGCAGTCTCTGGTACGCACTGTATTCACTCTCGGCACCAAGGTAATATTTCCCTTCTGAGCATGTGCAGAGTGCATAACAATTTCATCTTATTCCCCCATGGTTCGGATCCTGCTCTTAAAGCAGCAGTAGCCACCACCTTTTCTCCTTTTTCAAGCCACCCCTTTTTTCCAACCTGTCTACTTTCTGGGGTAGGACAACCCGGGAAACGCGCTCCCTCTCCTCACCTGAGCCACCACATGTAGTTGTGCTCGTAAGGGAAAAAACTGTTAGGGTCGTCGCAACAGTACTTGACATCCTGGAAGCCGCAGCAGTAGATCGCGCCGGCCTCGCCGTCTTCCCGCGGGCAGCTGAAGGAGCCCACCAGCACCTTGTCGGCGTTCACGTAGCTGCTGCAATCGGCGCTCATGGTACGCTGGACGCCCGGGGGTCTGAGCCTCGTGCGGAGCTGTTCGGCGCTTGGCCACTTTCGGGGACGAGAAACGGCTGGAAGCGAAGCCACCACCGGAGCCGAGGCAGCGGAGAAATCGCCTTGCCGCCCTGTGCTTCTAGGGCTCTGCTTTCACCTCCGATAGCGGCTCTCCAG